AGTGGGGAGCAGAAAAGGCAGATCGACGAAGCACACTGCTGAGGGGAGCAGCGGGCGGGCCAGGAGAGGTCTGCCACGCCATGTGGATCTCCTCCCGGGCAGGCAGGAATCTAACGGAAGTGGTGTAAGCTTCTTTGTGCTGTGCTTTAACCAGCTGTGCCACCGGGAGGGCGGGAAGTCTTTTTTAATTGTATCTGATAAAGTGCAATTCTTTTAATTATTTAGCTACAAATATTTTCCCATTTGTATCCATGCATATAAATCAGACACAGACCATATGCAACATTCTGTGGACCAAAAAGTTTGAGGATAAACAGTGTCATTAAAAAAAAAAAATTATTGTTGGGTCCCTTTGTGGTGGCGAAATGGGTTGAAGTGCAACACTACAAAGCTACCCACAGCCACTTCAGCGCAAGTTCAATCCCCAGCTAGGGAGGTGATCCACGTGGTGAGGCAGACCTCTGCTGTCCTGCCCGCCCGCTGCTCCCCTCAGCAGTGTACTTCGTCAGTCTGCCTGTTCTGCTCCCCCTCTGTCTCTGGTGAAGCCTCTCACTGCCCGTAAACCTCTGGCCTGTACCCTAGTTGTGTATGCATAAGTAAATAAATCTTAGAAAGAGAAAAGTTAAAAAAAAAAGTCATTGTAAAATAGGGTGATTCTAGTAACTACTGAAAGTAAGGACAAGAGCATGAAGGTTCAGAGACGAAGAGAGAACTTCGGCCAGGGACATTAGGAGAAAGAAGAGAGAGCATCAGAGTTGGGGCTTTAAAACAAAGCAGGACTAAACAGAAAATTGATGGAGATTGCAAAGGACACACTGGGGAAGTCAGCAAAGCAGTGCAGGTTAGTGTGAGGTGTGCCCCTGGGAGGTAGCAAGCAGGGCTCCCCCTCACCCCCACTTTCTTTCATGCCTTCTCTTTTCTGACTAGTTTACCTTACTAAGTGGTTCACGGTTTGCTTTAACTCACCTGTAATCCCGAGTGATGATTAGTTCCAGCTAGTTAGATCCTTTGTTATTCTCAAATATCAAAACGAGGAGGCAGTAGGCTGGATGTAAATGTGAGTCAGTTAAAGGCCGAGGCATTTTTCAGAAGGAAAAACTGCTTGGCCTCGCCGGGGCCATTTTCATATTTGAGGCCAATCCGCAGATCCTACTACATTCTCTTACCCCTTTATTTGGATATTTCGTATTTGTTTTGTATAATTTGTAAAACTAAAGAAAAGGGACCCCAAGTCCTTTGCGCACTCTTGGCTAAGTGTGGGACACGGAGGCTGTAGTTGGTGCGGTCTGCCAAGTTCACGTATGCCGGGTTCTCAGTGATTTTCTGTTTTTCCTCTGCCCTGCCTCAGTAGGAAGTTCTGGACACAATTAAAGGCCTATAATAAACAGTGAAGCTCTGTGATTTGCACGAAGTGGCTTTGGACTTGAAATGTTCCTGTTCATCACACTCACCTTGCCCCTTCCCTCACAGTATCCTGAAGTAATTCTCATCTCAATTTGTGTCTGGTGAAACATCTGGCACCTGCTGTTCTGCCTTCGTGTCTGCTCAGCAGCCACATGCCCTGCGTCAGCTGTGTGCTGGGCATTTCCTGTGGGCAGCGTCCAGTACTTGGGTGGTGGACGGGACCCCTGCACTGAAGTCACTGTGGAATTTTGCAATCGACCAGTTAAAATCTAAGATCCACAGGCCCTTCCTGGTGGTGCAGCACTAAGAAGCTGAAACCATTTCCGCATGAGTTCGATTCCCGCCTGCCCCGGAGGTGACCACATGGCGCGGCAGACCTCTCCTGACCCGCCCGCTGCTCCCCTCAGCAGTGTACTTCGTCGATCTGCCTGTTCTGCTCCCCACTCTGTCTCTGGTGAAGTCTTTCGCCACCCCTGAGTCTCTGGCCTGTACCCCAGTTCTGTATGCACAAATAAATAAATCTTAAAAAAAAAAAAATCTAAGATCCACAGATCTGACCTAGAATTGAGAGTGGGGGTTGGAGGGGGGTGAAAAAAGAGGAGAGGAGGGAGCCAGTGACTATGGTAGAGGATCATGGGAGCTTTGGTGGTGGATGTGAGGTAGTAATGTTACATACAGGGCAACCCAATGTGAGCTGGGTTGCCTGTCTGTGGGTCCTCACCGCACATTTAAGATTCAGTTGTACCACAGACACACACACAAATAATGGGTTTATTTACAAGGGGAAAGGAAAAGGAACAACCCAGGGAAAGAGAAAGAGAGATACAAGTTAGCTAGTGCGTCCTACCAATTCCCTGGCTTGGGACCCCAGTAGCACACTGAAAGCTGATCAAGAGCCAAGCGACCAGCTACCAGCCATGTGGCCGAGGGAGAGAGAGAGCCTCCGCTCAACATGTCTCCTTTATATATCCCAAAAGTCTCAAAATGGCTGCTTAGCTCCACCCTTGGGTCCTCACAGTCCTCCCTTTGGGGTTGCTGGGAGTTGTCATTTCAGTGTCTGGAGTGGGGGCAGAGTCCACAAAACCTGTAGCTGTAGAGTTAGTTCAGCACATCATTTCCCCCCCTAACAGTAACATATCTCTAAAGAGGTGTGAGCCAATACTCATAGCTTATATATTGTTGTAAAACATTGTTACCGCAATAAAAATAAGAAATTAAAAAACATCTTGACCCTCTCTGGAAGGGCGGTGGGTTAAAGCACAGCACTATGAAGCTAGCTACAGCCACTGCAGGAGGAATTTTGTCCCTGGCCAGGGAGGTGACCCACATGGCACAGCAGACCTCTCCTGTCTTGCCCCCTGCTCCCCTCCCCAGTGTGTTTCAGTAGATCCACCTGTTCTGCTCTCTAGTCTGTCTCTGGTGATTCCTCTCATCCCCGTGCACCTCTGGCTTATATTCCAGGTCTTATATGCATAAAAAAATAAATCTTGGCCCTCCCTGGTGGCGCAGCGGGTTAAAGCACAGCACTGGGAATCTGAGGCCGCTTCCACATGAGTTCGATTCCCGCCTGCCCCGGAGGAGACCACATGGCGCGGCAGACCTCTCCTGACCCGCCCGCTGCTCCCCTCAGCAGTGTACTTCGTCGATCTGCCTGTTCTGCTCCCCTCTCTGTCCCCGGTGAATCCTCTCACCCTCCGCATCTCTGGCCTGTACCCCAGTTCTGTATGAATAAATAAATAAATCTTTAAAAAAAAATTAATTTTTAAAAAAAAAATCTAAGCTCTAAACAGAAGTGCATTTGTCTTGCTTATAGACCCACAGCAGCAATCTGTGCTTACACTGTGTCTCCTTTCCTTTTAGAGCATTTCATCAGGGCCCTACCAGAGTACCACGTGGTGGGTCCTGTTCGAGTAGACGCCAGTGGGCGTTTTCTGTCCTACGGTTTGCACCATCCCGTCACCAACAGCAGGCGGAAGAGAGATGTGGAAGGGCCAGAGGACCGGGTATACTACCGAATTTCACACGAGGAGAAGGATCTGTTTTTTAACTTGACAATCAACCAGGAATTTCTTTCCAAAAACTACATTGTGGAGAGGAGATACGGGAACCTTTCCCATGTCAAGATGGTGGTCTCCTCGCCACCCCCCTGCCATCTTCAGGGTACAGTTCTGCAGCAAGGCACAAAGATGGGAACCGCAGCCCTCAGCGCCTGCCATGGACTGGTGAGTGCCTGCGTCCACCCCTCCTTCCACTGCCCCCAGCTCGTGGCGTCTTGGCCAGCAGGCCCACGACCAAGGTCCGCAGTGCTTCCCGCCCAAGCCAACGGAACCTGTGATGTGTGTGGCTCTGGACACCAGACGTGTTGGGTAGACAGTGCGTAGTAAATAAAAAATAAAAGGTGATCAGTCGGTCAGTCAGTTGGGAGGTCCAGAGAGGAAGGCACTGGGAGTTCGGAGGAGGCAGGGAGAATTTCTTTCTTTCTTTTTTTTTTTCCAGAAATAAAATTACAATTTAATTTTATAGTCAAGTAACCTGCAAAAGCTTTACCAATTTATCCCCTCTTTGTATCTTTGATGTCAACATTTATCTCCTTTTTTTATATATATAATATAATAGTTTATTTTTACATCATTTTGTACATTTTTTTTTTTTTTTATCTCAGTGGTAATCCGGCAGGGAGAATTTCAACCAGGGCCACCAGGGGAAGAAGGAGGGGGCTGGAGTTGGGGTTTCAGTCTCTGGGGCAGCTTTGTCATAGATGACTGTGTGTTCTTGGCAAGGAGATTCCTGCGGGATAGGAGCTGTGTCAGTGACCCCTTGTGCCTCTGTTTTCTCATCTGTAAAGTGGAGAGAGTGAATATACCCATCAGATAGAGGACAACTTGTCAAACTATAGCCAGATCTGGCCCATCTCTTGTTTAATACATTTTATTGAAATGTGCAATGATACACCATTGTGTTTCCATATTGTTCATGACTGCTTTTGAATTACAACAGCAGAGAAGTTGCCAAAAATATTTATTATCTGGCCTTTATAGATAAAGTTTGCTGATACTATTGTTAGTGGGCAGGCAGAAGAGTGTCCCAAGACCCCTCCCCCCCAATGGCACATATCTACAACATAAAGACACAAAGACCTTCCATAGAAAAAACAACTTTAGTATAATTTGTGTGCACAGAGTGAGGAGAGAGAAGAAAGCGTCATAGTTTCCAGTGAAACTCTCAGTTACTCATCCTGTCCTGGGTACCTGCACAGCCAAAGAAGGTTGGTCACAGTGGGGACTCTGAGGCCTATAAGTTTGCCACAAGTCTGAGGCACCATCTGGAGATGAACCACAGGAGAGGGTCAGAGGGGCCAGACAAGTCTGGAAGGAAGGTAGTAAAATCAAACCACAAGGCAAGATAAAGGCCACCATGCTCAGCCTTCCTATGGGCCTCTCACCCACGTCTGTTCAAGTGTCTCCTTCCACGGTCCCTCAAGTCCCTGGCACAAGTCTCAAGCTGAGAAGCAAGTGCGGCTTCTCCACACGTCTCTGCTCCACAGGCCTCCTCCAGCCTTCTCTCCAAATCTCCCCCAAGTCTTTTGAGCTTCCCCTCACCCTTTTCTAGGTGGGCAGGGAAGATGGAACCTCCTCTTTTTAGATTACACCTACATGGCATTTCAACATGTAGCCAGGCTTATTTTTTTTGATTTATAACTATTTCAAAAATTTACATCCTTTTGTTTCCCCATAGAGTATGAGCCCCATGGTAACTGTGTGGTTAACAATACTGTGGGATTTAGGGCAGGAGGTTTTGGTCATACTTGAGTAGGAGGTAGGCAACAGCCTAAGGGTGTGTTTAGGGAGTGACCCTAGGGGAGAGACTCTAGAGTCCTGACGGGTGTTGGGAGGACTGCCCTTGACCCTGAGCAGAGCCAGCCTGGGTGGCTTGTGATTTCTGTAGCAGGTGCTCATTCCAATTCCTGCTAGTCTGATACAAATCCTTTATAATTTAGGATTCCGTTCCTCCTATATGTGTAGAGGAAACCAGGAGAAAATGAATGTAAAACGTGCCCATTAAATGTTCCAAGAAAGTTCAATTGAATGAAGGACCTCCGGGGAGGGATTGTTTTGCCTTTGCCTTTTGCTGTAAATCTGGATTTGCATATGTTGGCATTTATCATTCCACCCCTAATTGTGCACACACTATATAAAATCAAGAATGATGCCCTCTTCTCTTTCTTCTCCTTGGGCCTCACCCATCGTGTCATTGAACTGGGGGACAGTCCCTGGCTCCG